AAACCCTCTCAGGCCCCAACAAGGGTCAAGGCAGACACCCCCCTCCAAGGGGTGATTCGTGCCTTGACCAATAATAAACAATCTACCTCCATCCACGGGTGCTCTTCCACGACTTTCCAGCGATGGAAGAGCATTCTTCCACCAGCGCTCGCAGAGAGTACAACACAAAAAATAAAGTTCTCTAAGACTACTAGAGACCCTTCCACGTCATTAATTTGCCGTAGGAAGCGCGAATCGAGCGTACAATAGTTCGGTCGCGCATGTACGTTAGGCGACTAACCGAACGTACGGACAAAACAAAGACTGTTTCGAGAAAGTGGCAATATTTAATCGTCATTAGAGTGCAAATGGTTAAACATTTAACATTAATGCGATCAGTGCCAAAATTAATCTATAATATTGCCAGGAGCTCGAAGTAATTTAATTAATAAAACAACAAGTAAAAAGTTATGTCAAGAATTAGTATAATCCACATGTAACGCGATACTTAACGCGTTAATAAAAATAATATTTCAAAATCCTCACGAAATGTGCGAGGACGATAAAAATAAAACCTGCGACATTTTGCTCCGATTAAAAAATGAATTGTGGACCTTTTTGCAAGTTAAAAATATTTTGTACGAATAACAAGAATCTATAGCCATCCTATCCTTAAATTCGTTCCTTAAATTTATTCACCTCGTATTGTCATTATTAGTGTTAGAAAGCGGTTTGAAAAGTTTGCGTTCGAATTTGGATCGATGAGCTCACGCTAGAAGCTGTAGCAGACATTAATGTCACGTTGCTCGATAGAGAACGTTGCGAGCCGCGCTTTATAGACTCCCGCCAAATCTCGTCGGAAACGATTCCAAACAACGTGTATAATAATACCATGCGAACGATATAAAAGTTACAGTGTTTTATTTCCACTTACCCTCGGATGAATGTGATTAGGTGCGCCGCACGTGGTACGCATCTAGATCTGTCGCGGCAAAGAGGTTAATCCCACTATTTAAATTCACTAATTCGCTTATGCAATTAAGGCAGACAATTCGCAGACTACTAACGATAATATTAACAAACGAACAACCAACTTTCCCGGCGCGTTCCCTAGACAAATTACTTTATTCATAAGATTCGTACAAGTAGAACTTATTCGCGACTCCGTCGTTAACGAAACCTAGGCCGCGACTGGCGTTAGAGAAACCTAATCTGTGCGACTGGTGTTTACGAAACCTAATTCGCGACTGTGGCGTTAATCGCTGGAAACCAATCCACGACACTGTCGTTAATCGCCGGAAACCAATTCGCGACCCTGGTGCTGGTAACCCGAAGCATAATCACTTGGTTGCGGGTTCGATGAATTTATGACAAAAACGAACGTGCGAAACCGTTGGAAGAATTAACAAATTTTGATACAGTACTTTTTGATTTGTTGTACTTATTAAAAAGTAATGTTACATTTCGTTTCTGCTTTCGGCAATTCGTGTAATTATCTGAAAAGAAAGTAAGCTTACATTTCGTTTCTGTATTTGACAATTGATATAATTATTGAAAAAGAAAAGAGGTTTTCATGCTGTTTCTCTTTTTGACAATTGATACAATTATTGAAAAAGAAAATAAGCTTTCATTCTGTTTCTCTTTTTGACAATTAATACAATTATTGAAAAAGAAAATAAGCTTTCATTCTGTTTCTGTTTTTGATAATTGATATAATTATTGAAACAGAAAAGAAGTTTTCATGCGGATTCTCTTTTTGACAATTAATACAATTATTGAAAAAGAAAATAAGCTTTCATTCTGTTTCTGTTTTTGATAATTGATACAATTATTGAACAATAGAACAAGTTCTCATTTTGTTCCTGTATTTGAGAATTGATATAATTATTGCAAAACAAAATAAGCTTTCATTCTCTTTCTGTTTTCAACAACTGATACAATTATCGAACAATAGAACAAGTTCTCATTTTGTTCCTGTATTTGACAATTGATATAATTATTGCAAAACAAAATAAGCATTCATATTGTTTCTCTTTCTGACAATAGACATAGCTATTGAAAAAGAAAACAAGTGAACCTCCCGTTTCTGTTTTTCAATGTTCGCAATCTAATGATCACGTTTACCGAAGGGGCTAATCGAAATGGCTGTCGAACGCGAAACGTTGCTCACCGAGTTCGAGTGAGCAGTCGATACAAGTTTCTCACGGTTGACTTTCCACCCCCGCGATGTTTGGCCCCGATCGCGTGCCAAGGCATTCCTCGAATACTAATCAAAGTTCCCGGGGTCCCTGGGCTGTTTCAGAAAGCGCGTACGAAGATGAGGAGCAAGTCGCCAGGGGCGCGAGATCCCCCGGTGAAACGACCGGAGCCGACGACGAAATTGCTGGTGCTCACGGCGAGGGTTACAAGAACTTCACCGTGAGGATGGGCACGAACGCGACGAGGGCCTGGAATTCGAGCCTCGGGGCCGGCTTTCTGCGCGGCGCCGGTCACCGGGTCACGTTCGACCCCGAGGCACCGCCGCTGCCGCCCGAGACTATGCAGCAGCAGCATACTATGAATCTTCTCGAGAAGCCGAAGGAGGACTACAAGGTCAAGGTGAGCACCACGATGCTGTAACTGCAACCATAACTGCTGGCCGTGCCTCTCAAAAAAAGTTATCTTTTCGATAATGCTTCTCTGAACAAATGTATGCAACGAATGGATGCATTATTAAGAGGATTAATTACTAAACGATCATTATAACGTGCCCAAATTAAAAAGAATCTGTCCGATACTTCATTTAATGTTCCGTCAGAATAGTTTGTTATTAGATATCTAGTAAAACTTCATTTTTTGAATTTCTTATTTGGCAGAGCAGGAAAACGAGCGTGATTTTTGAATATTGGAAGGACTAGACAGCATCGAACATTCGTTACAGCCCTAAAAACAAACGGTGCTGCACAGGAGACAATTGAAAATAGGTAACGGATTTGATATTAGTATTATTTGAAGGATGACACAGGCGACAAATACATCGTGACGTTTTATAAACATGTTGCCGTTTTGTGTATATTATTGCCCCGTTGTCGGCTGAGCGCGATTCCGTGTGCAAAAACTAGCGAACGTTCTTAAACATCGGCCGGGGTGACACGAGCAAGAAATGGTTTAGTGAGATTTTTACTTTGCAGAAAAATTATTTCATTGTAATTTTGAATAAATGTAATATTTCTAAATTGGGAAGAATCTGTCTGATACTGTATTTAATGTATGGTCAAAATATTAGTATTACTGGATAGAGTGACTGTGTATGTACAATAGTCTCTATAGTCGCTAAGTTGCAAGGAATTCATATAATACTCTACTTAATGCACTGATAAAATAATTTGTCATTAGATTTGTATCATAATGTGTTTAAATCGAACAGAATATGTTTCTCACATTATTTCAACGAACTATAGATTAAAGGGTGCCTCAGGCTCTCTGAGATAGATTGATACACATTCCTTTCAGTGATATTGGAGCAGTTCACCAAATACTTACTACAGATTAAATCCAATGTAAGAGCCAGTTTAAATTTCAATTTCAAAAAGTAGTTTCCACTTTATATCGTTTCTTTTCTCTTTC